GCCATGCCGCGCATGCCAAAGGGCGGGAGGGCGGCGGCTGGCCGGCACGCATGGCGTGCGCACGGGGCGGGGCCGGGCGGCGGGGCCCACCCGCCGCCGCAGCCGCCGCAGCAGCAGCCGCCTCACCTGCGGAAGCTGCCGTCACGCTCCACCTGAGAGAAGGCGTCCAGCAGGGCGGACCGCGGAACGCGCACTCCTGCGGGGGGGCAGGCGCAGGCGCGGGGGCACCATGCAACGTCAGCGAGCGCCGGCGGCAAGCAGGCAGGCGGCAGGCGGCCGCCGCCCGGCTCCCGAGCACCCCAGCAGCCAGGCCGCAGCTGCCCCTGTTCTGCCCCCGGTGCGTCCCCTCCTGCTTCGCTTCCCCCCGGCGGCTGCAGCAGGCCAGCCAAATCCAGCGTACAGTCAAACTCACGGTCAAACCAGAGCTTGCCGTTGTCCACGCCGTTGCACCCCATCTTGTGCCCCATGTCCTCGATGCGCACGCCGGGGCAGGGCCGCAGGTCCTGCACCCAGGCGCAGGCAGGTGCGCGGGGAGGGCGGGGAGGCTGGGGAAGGCAGGCAGGGAGGCGGGCGGCGAGGGGGCGCCACACCCCCAGCTGCCCAAACCGAGCAACAGCAGCGCGTGCCCCGCATCCGTCCCACCTGCTTGTCGCGTATGGGCACCAGGAAGCCGTGGATGCCGTGGTTGGTGCCGCCGATGAGCAGCTGCGCAAACACCACCGCCCACTGCGGGCGGGCGGGCGGGCGGGGTGGCAGGCGGTCGGCGCTGCGCGGCAGCTAACCCGGCACACACCCCACGGGCACGATGCCCGCCCTCACCCACCCCCGGCTCCTGCAAGCGCCTGCGGGCTCCCACGCCACCCTCCCTCCCTCCCTCCCAGCCACCGTGGCCATATGCCCCAGGCAGCCCGGCAACAGGTCGGGGGCTGTGGTGGGCGGGCTGCGCACGTGTGCGTGTATGGCGGAGTTGGTGATCCAATACTTTTGCGCCAGAGGGGTGGGTGTGTGGATGATGAACTCGTCGGTGGCAGCATCAAAGGTGGCCGTCGTCTCCATCTCCACAGCATTGTTGCCTGCGGGAGGAAAGGAGGGGAGGGGAGGGGAGGGAGGGCGGCGTGCGGCGTGTACGTGTGGCGTGTGGCGTGTG